ATTTCTGTCCTGAAAACGTAGCGACCCCTTCTACCAGTAGCGCCAATACTGGTTACCAACCCAACACGACCCAGAGGGAAGTGAGAGACAAACTAGGCAGGCCAATAGTTTTTTTAGGTAAAGCACAAGTCTGCAATAATTTCAATGCCGGGGTTGCAGTTATAGTGCTTGTAGGCTTCTGCACGTGTGCTCACTGTGTTTCAGAGCACATGCCAAAACAATGTGCCCCAACAGATTGTAACCTAACAAATCTTCCACTCCAATAAACGTACCGAAGTTGCAACACTACCTGTCTAATCATCCTTATGTTCATTTGGTGGAATTTCTCACGGCTGGTTTCACTAATGGGTTTCACACAGGGTTCGTGTCACTCCCCACAGGTGTTTTGGAATGCCCCAATTTAGTCGGCACTCACAGATCCAGACAGCATACAAGAACTCTTACAGAAAGAAATCACCAATGGTTTCATGATAGGTCCTTCTCTACTCCTTTCACTTCCTGGAGGACAAACCCTCTAGGAATTGCCACAGGGAAATATAACAATAAAAAGAGACTGATTATCGACTTTTCTGCACCTCACTCATCCCCTACATGAGATGATCTGTCGGTTGCCAGCACCCCACAACGATCAGGCCTTAATGCTCTGATCCCGTCAAAAGAAGACTTTTCCCTTCAATACACCAGAATTGACAATGCCATCCAAGCAATCATTCATGCTGGGAAGGCTGCTTGGTTAAGTAAATCTGACATCACAAACGCCTTTAAACTGTTTCCCATCCATCAGTCACTCTGGCATCTGCATGGAGTTAAGTGGCAAGACAGCTACTATTTCGCTACCAGACTGACCTTCGGATCCAAAAGTAGCCATAAGTTATTCGATATATTTGCCGAAACTTTAACCTGGCTCCTACTGAACTTTTAAAGATGTCCAGTAGTCATACATTACTTAGACGACTTCCTCACCATTGAACCTCATCAACACATGCCCCACAGTCTTAATCACATGCTCACTCTGTTCAAAGACTTAGGAGTCCCTGTAGCCAAAGACAAAACAGAAGGTCCCAACATGGTGATTACTTTCATGGGAATTACACTCAATTACATCTCTATGCAGGCCAGCCTGACTCAAGAGAAAGTAGACTGGATTCTTTCTTACATAAAACACCTGCACGTCACAAGGCACTTGCACAAGGAAACAACTTCAGTCACTACTCGGTTCACTAAATTTTGCTATGAGAATAATTCCGCAGGGTAGGTCTTTCATTTCCAGAATCCTCTCACTGTTGCACGGCCTCCCCGACGACTACTCCACAACTTCCTTAGACGAGTCAGCTAGAGCTTATCTACAAATGTGGCAGCTGTTCCTATCAACTTGGAATGGCAGGTCGCTATTTGTTCCACCCATATCTGACGATTCCCTTGTAATTTGGACTGATGCTTCAGGTACATGCAGCCATTTTCGGTGAGGAGTGGCTATATATGACTCTCTTGGCCAGTTGAGACCACCTCACTCGAAAATTTCAATACCACCTCAGCTCTATTTGAAATGCATCCTATAGTAGCAGCTAGACACATCTGGGGTAAAGAATGGCGTGGACAATCTGTCAGATGCTTTTCGGATAACGTAGCTACCAATAATATAGTTAACAAAGGCCGCTCTCAGTCCTTCACAACTATGAACTTAATAAGGAGACTGACCTGGCTAGCGGCTAATCTTCAATTCTGCATAACATGTATTCACGTTCTGGGTGTTCAAAATAACGCTGCTGATGCTCTCTCACGCTTGAATTTGCAGGAATTTTTCAGGTTTCATCCATCAGCAAATCTGCAACCCAGGGAATCTCCAAGCTTCTCAGAACTAGTTATGCTTTAAGTTCTCTATTACAACATAGAAGATCTCTCGCACAGGCCGGCTTGTCCCCTAATACAAGGAAAGCCTACTCCAGAGCATACAAGTTGTTTAAAAAGTTTTGTTCGTGATTATCATATAATAAATGCTTTTGTTGAAACTGTTGTTGCATTCACAACTTTTTGCCACATCTCTCTTAATTTAGCCTGCAACACTATCAAACTCTACTTAACGGGGATACAACACTACATGTTGACCAGCTATCCCAACAAAACTCCATTCCTAGCGTCCTACCCAGTAAAAAAGTGTCCTAAGAGGTGTTCACAGATTAACAGTACACAATTCCATCAAGAGACTTCCCATAGACAGTTAGCTCTTTAAAAGTATCTCCGATATCTTCGACACATCCCCTTTTGAACACACCACAAACCTAATTATCAAGTACGCGGCTTACTTAGCCTTCTATGGTTTCTTGAGACCCACAGAATTTTCCTTGGAGAAAGCAACCGATTTTAAGCTTTGCCTCCAGAAGAAACACCTAATTAAAAAACCGGACCACTACATCTTATCTATTACCCATACCAAAACTAGCCCAACAGGTCCTCCGGTAGAAATGAAATCCTATCCTACCTCTACCAAATGGTGTCCTATCCTAGTTTTAGATAAACTAGTGGTGTCCCAAATCACTTCCAACCCAGATTGCCCACTGTTAGCTACTCAAGCCCCTAACCACTAAACAATGTATTACATTTGTACATTATTACTCCGGCTAGGACATAACCCACATGCCTTCTCGGGCCATTCCTTCTGCATTGGGGCAGCGTCAGCTGCCTCAGGGAACCACGTACCAACTCACATCATTAAAAATATGGGTAGATGGAAATCATCCGCATACAATAGGTACATTCCCGATCCTGAAAAAGAAATAAGAATGGCTTTCCATGACATGTCTAAATAATGTTTGTGCTTAAATAAACTTATATGTATTTTGAGAAATCACTTCTTATATTTTTGCCCTCTTTTACAGGTCTAACCTCACGTCAGTTTCGGCAGACCTCAACTGACTTTGCTATTACTAATACTGCTTTTTATTATTGATGCCTTACGTCCTCGAAATGTGCCGTACACAAATAGAAGGCTTGACCTGTAATTGTGGGAGGTACATTATTCCCTATTTAAATGCAGTAAGCCCAGCGTACCCGTCATCAACGTTCCCGGAAGTGCCCCTCCCACCGCACCCTCAATTCATTATCATTTCACCTAGGTGGGCCCTCTTTTACAGGTCTAACCTCACCTGACTTTGCTATTACTAATACTGATTATTATTATTATTAAGAGAGAATTTCCCCTTAACGACCGAGGACAAACTATGTACGTCCAACAAAAAAAATGGTCATTAAGGATGTCTGCAATAGGAGCCCTGGACCGACGATCTGCTTCGATCACGGTCAGGGAGGACTGCTCCAGCAGTCCCCCTACAGCAGCTCTGGCCACCCCGGCCCTCCATGGCCATGTGATCACATCACTGCAATAGGACTCTAGGAGCTGCCATCAGGGGGACTGTCTGTGCTGTCAGGCAGTCCCCCAGGCTGCTAAAAAAACAAAATAAAATATATTTTATATATACACAGGTGGTCCTCGTTTAGCAACCTACCTGTTTTACCACGGCTCGCACTTACGACCAGACATTAGTGCAAGCCATCATGGGGAAATTTCCCTGAACATAGATTAGAGGGATTCTCTGCTCTGGTGCATATGTCTATGTTCGGGGAAGTTTACCCGAACATAGACAAATGCACCAGAGCAGGGAACTCCTCACTTACCAACCGATTTCTTCTACGACCAGGTCATAGGAAGGGAACCCGGTCGATAAGTGAGGAGTGTCTATATTATATATGTGTAATATATTATAAAATAATGAAATCATTTTATAATATATTATACATATATAATGCTTCTATATGATTGAATTATAAGTGTACTTTGATATATATATCGCAAAATACACTTAAGATGAAATCATAGATGCATTATAGATGTATAATATATTAAAAAAATGATTTAATTATAATGTATTATACATATAGGAAGTAAAAGTGTGTGTGTGTGTGTATATGTGTGTGTGTGTGTATATATATATATATATATATATATAATTTGTAAAAACCAAAACATTATACTAAAACAAATAAAAGCGCTAACTTTGGTCAGCGTTTGTGACTAAGTGGCAACAACAAAAGACTGGAAATACCCCATTTGGAATACCCTGGGTTGTCTACATTTGAAAATGGTATTTCATGATGGGGTTATTTCACATTCCTGGGCTACTATATGAACTAGATCGGGCAAACCCTATATTCACCCTGTAACTTTTCAAAACACCATAAAACCTGTACATGGGGGTACTGTTATACTCGGGAGATGTTGCTGAACACCTATCGGGGTTTCTTTGTCAATAACACAAGAAACGGAAATAAAAATCCATGCCTAAAGTAGAATAAGTGTTAAAAATAAATAAATGACTACCCAAATGTTTGACAGAGACTGGTGGTAAAATTAGTGCATGGAAAGTGTTAAGATGCCACCATTTGAAATACCCTAGGGTGTCTACCTTTCAAAAATATATGGTTGGAAAAATGGAATAACGTCTTTTAGCACCCAGAGAACGCGACACACCTATACATGGGTGGTATCCCTGTACTCCTGAGATTATGCTGAACACATATTAGGGTGTTCTTTGGCAGTAACCCTTAATGTTCTCAGTACATATATTCTTAAATCACCAATTATTATTAATTTGGCATAAATTGGTGGTAAAATGGCTGCATGAAAAGATTCAAAATACCCCAGATTTAATACCTTAGGTTGTCTTACAAATGTGTTTATGCGTTCACAAATACAGACTTGTGTGGGTGAGCATGTATAAAATGTTCCCTCCTCTGCACTGTCTGCTTGTTTGTTTTTCTTCTCCCTCTCTCCCCCCTCACTCTGCTCTTCAGAAAGATATGTATGACCCTCTGCAAAAATGGTGTCTATTTTCTAACAAACCTGTGTCTTATCTACACTCCTGTCGCTTTAACCCCTGTATCACAACTCAACTTTAAATTCTAAGTGTCATCTTGCTCAGAAATGCTTCAGACTTGAGAAAGGGAGGTTCTCCTGAAAGCTTGTCATTAAAAAATTCTATTAGTCCAATAAAAAAGGTATTACAAGATACAAATTTTATCTGTTTTTTTACATCTACATCACTGGACTAATACGGCTACAATCTCTACTTGAACACTATGAGGGGAGATAGAGAGATAGATATTTTTTTTTTTTATTGGAGTAGCCCCCAAAATATTGGGACATATAAAAAAAAAAAAAACCCTCTGTTCCGCAGAGTAGCTGTTGACATAGTTGCGCAGGCACTTTGTTGACTCTAGAGAACCTTGGGCCAATCACACATCCCTGTAACGGCGACTTTGCATTTGGATGTCATCCATATCAACTTTCGATGCCAGTTTCTGCACCTACCATGGTGACCACGGGTAACGGGGAATCAGGGTTCCATTCCGTACAGGGAAATGGCTACCACATGCAAGGAAGGCAGCAGGCGCGCAAATGACCCACTCCCGACGCGGAAGTTAGTGACGACAAATAATATAGGACTCTTTAGAGGCCCTGTAATTGTAATGAGTCCACTTGAAATCCTTAAACTCTGATCAATTGGAGGGCAAGTCTGGTGCAGAGCGACTGACCCGTGCGTTCTGCAGCTGAAACTCCACTATCGCCTGCTTTCACAGTCTCATGAGGCGGTGAGCGGGAAGGCCGAAGTTACGCTGCAGCGCAGACAGGTGAGCAGCATCAGGTTGACAACGCCAAAAGCACGCACAGCCGCTACAGTGAATGTCACATCCTGTTCCAAGTTGCGGGTCAGTCTGGAGATGGCTTCTGGTATACAGTACTCTTTTTACTGAAGCTGCATCAGGGTCCTGGTATGTGGCCACACAAACGCTGGTGCTCAACACCAGGGGGCGTGCGGTTACCCTGCACCAGACCCTGCTAATCCATTCCACACTGTGACTCCTAACTTGTTGAAGTGGGTCAAGCCGCCGCCCAGACAGTGTCTGGGTCCTGGTCACCGGACTGCCCACCTGACTGTGAAACTACGAATGGATCGTTAAATCTGGTACGAACCCGAACTTTGCAGTTCGGGTTCGCTCAACTCTATTATGGATCCTTTGATCGCTACATGTATTACTTGGATAACTGGTAATTCTTGAGCCAATACATGCAGATGAGCGCTAGGGGACGGCCGCTCCGCTTTTGCACCCTGCTCCCTCTTATGCGGTGCTGGTGCCTCTGTGCGACCAGCGCCTCTTACTCCAAATTGCACACGTCACTCGCATGATCTTGATTCCATGTGGGATCTAGGACCTCATCATCTTTCACATCATCTTCCACCCAATCCTCAACCCTGCCCTCCTTGTGGGTATGCACACTGCAGAAAGCCACAGCAGTTGGCACCTGTGTTTTCCCAGCATGTAAAGTCTGCAAAGGACATATGGAAATTGTTTTAGAATTGTATCCAGGCAACAGTTTTCCCTATAAACTGACCTCTCAGTTTGACTTGTGAGGGTATTGCCCCAGAATTACAATATTGTTTAAGTACCTCTTAGCTATTGATAACTGGTTTAAATATAGCAGCTTGTTATCTGGTAGTTTCTAGTGTAGAAAATATCAATCTGTTTTCTATCACTTAGATCTGTGTAACAAGTGTTGTAGGTGTGAAACAATATTGCAAGTGACCGATGTAGTTAACTCAAATCAAAGTTACGCTTGGATCTGACTCTCAAATATGAAGTGAACACACCAAATATACTATTTAGCACCAAAAAAAAAATGACACTTTAAAACTCCAATGTAAGCAGCAGATTAGCAGCAAAACAATTAGAATGTTTACAACTGCGCAATAAGCGCAATATTAGACGCTTCGATTTGACTCTCAGATATGAAGTGCACCACAGGCGCAAATGTACTATTTAGCAGCAAAACAATTTGATTTTTTACAACTGCGCAGTAAGCGCACTATAAGACGCTTCGATTTGACTCTCAGATATAAAGAGCACGCCCCAAAATGTACTATTTAGCACATTAGCACCCTGAAGATTAGAATGTTTACCACTGCGCTGTAAGCACACTATTAGACGATTCTATTTGACTCTCAGATATGAAGTGCACCCCACTAATGTACTAGTTTGCAGTATTCTTTCCTAAGCTGTCCCGCACAGCTGCAGCATCCTCTGCCTACACTAATAAGAGCTCATGTGCATGCGGCGCTACGCAACTCCAGCTTATATATAGAGGCTGAGTCACATGCTGCACTGGCCAATCACAGCCATGCCATTAGTAGGCATGGCTGTGATGGCTTCTAAGGGCACATGAGTCAAACGCTTGTTGATTGGCTGCCCTGCAGCCTTTCAAAACGCGCCATTAAATCGCCGAACTCCAACCCGAATATACAGTGATATGTCAGTGTTCGGGTCCGGGGTTTAAAACGGCAATGTGACATACATACCGGTTTTATAACCCCCCCTACTTTTGTACCTGGATCACCATGTGCCCCCCTAAAAATGAATACTAGAGACTCCACTGTAGAAAAGGGTCAGAGTTATGGGAAATTACAATTAATGTGGATAAGTGCAAGAAAATGCATCTTTGGCGTAAAAACCTAAGGGCAGAGTATATGATATTTGATACAGTCCTAACCTCAATATCTGAGGAAAGGGATTTATGGGTAATTATTTGAGATGACTTAAAGGCAGACAATATCATAGAGCAGTAGGACATACTTGCAGAATGGTTGTATAGGGAGAGGTATTAGCAGTAGAAAGAGGGAAGTGATCATGCCATTCAGGGCCGGATTAACATAGGGGCTGATGGAGCTGCAGCTCCAGGCCCAGGCCCGTGGAATAGGCCCATTTAAAAAAAAATGCAGGTAATTTTCTCAGAATAAATGGAAATTAATCTGCTATACCAGCACCGGCCAGTAGGGGTCACTGTGTGTGGAGAGAGGCAGGGATAGGAAGTTACAGAATATTCCTGCCTCTCTCTACTACTCATTGATCCATAGGGGAGCAGCTACACAGCACAGAGAGTCCAGACAGCAGCTCTAGAGCTTAGGTAAGTGAGGGATCGGGGGAAAGGCAGCAGGGACACACTAGGGGACACTGAGAGACCTGGGAACACTGAGACACTTGAAAACATGGGGACACTGGAAAACATGGGGACACTGAGACACTTGGGGACACTGTCACTAGGGCACACTGAGACACATGGGGACGCTGTGAGACATAGGGACACGGAGACACCATGTCCCCCAGCCAGTGTCCCTAGTGTCTGTGTCCCCAAGTCTCCCAGTGTCTGTGTCCCATGTCTCTCAGTGTGCCTAGTGTCCCCATGTGTCCGTGTCCCCATGTCTATGTCCACAACTGTCCCCATGTCTCCCCAAGTGTCTGACTCCCAACCTGTGAGGAACTGACTCTGCTGGGTTTCGAACCCTGGTTTACATGGTGCTAAACCTCTTCTTTACCAGTACACAAGCCTGCCTTTTGCAAATTTACCTGAGATCTGATACCATTGCTTGTAGAGTCAAGGTTATCAGTGACAACTCTCTTCAGCTGTGTCTGGTCAGGTGTCTGGTTCTTGGCCTATAAAAGCCACTTCCTGTCTCTGTACCTTTGCCAGATTATAGTGGTTCCTGTATTCTCTAATCAAGCGTGTTCCTGTTTCTCCTTCCTGTTGCTGAATTTGAACTGTTTTGACTTTGCTGCTTCTCCTTCCCACTGACCTCGGCTTGCCTCACTACGATTATCATCTTTCTGTTCCAGTCTCCCATCTCTGCTTAAGACCAGAAGGCCACTCAAGGCTCAGGGGCTCAACCACCTGGGTAACGAGTGGCTACCTCTGGCAGAAAACATTGCTGATCTGGCTACTGGACTCCAAAACTTTGTAACATCAATATCATTACACAGCCAGTGTCCCCTAGTCTCCCAGTATCCCCTAGTCTCCCAGTGTCCCCTAGTCTCCCAGTGTCTGTGTCCCTAGTGTATTAGTGTCCCCAAATGTTTCAGCGTCTCCATGTCTCCCAGTGTGTTCCTAGTGTCTCAGTGTGTATGGTGTCCCCATGTCTCCCAGTGTCCCTATATGTCCCAGTGTCCACATGTCTATGTCCACAACTGTCCCCATGTCTCCCAGTGTCCCCAAGTGTCTGTCTCCCAGCCAGTGTTCCCTAGTCTCCCAGTGTCTGTGTTCCCATGTCTGTGTCCCTAGTGTCTTAGTGTCCCCAAATGTTTCAGTGTCCCCATATCTCCCAGTGTCTGTGTCCCTGGTGTCTCAGTGTCCCCATTTCTCCCAGTTTCCCTAAATGTCTCAGTGTCCCCGGGTCTCTCAGTGTCCCCAGTATCCTAGTGACATGGGGACACACTGGGACATTGGGACACTGGGAGAAATGGGGACACAGACACTGGGAGACTAGGAGACTGGGCGACATGGGGACACTGACACTGTGATACATAGGGACACTGAGACACTGGGTGTCTTGCGAGACTGAGACACTGGGAGACAGGGAGACACTGGGAGCAATCCATCTATACAGCAGAATCAAACTGTGAGTAGTTTGGTGATTTTACAGAATTTTCTCTGATGTCACTCCTTGTGATTTACATCATTTGATGTCACGCATAACTAATTAATTATACAAATGATTAAGGCTGGTATTTTTTTCCAAGAAAGGTGGCAACCTTAACTACTCTTCACATACTCTTGCTTAAAGGAGCACTATAGGGTCAGGAACACAATCCTGTATTTCTGACCCTATTATGTTAAAACCACCACCCTGGCCCCTTCTTGCCTCCCTAAATATAGTAAAATATTACTTGTATTCAATTCTGCAGCTGCTGGCTCAGAAGTGGTGGTCTGAGCAAATTACAATACTTCCCCATAGGATTTGCTGAGTCTGTCAACTAGGCAGATCAGGGGCAGAGCCAGCACAAGTCCAACATAGCCCTGGCCAATCAGCATCTCCTCATAAAGATAAATTGAATCAATGCATCTCTATGAGGAAAGTTCAGTGTCTGCATGCAGAGGGTGGAGACACTGAATGGCAGTGCTTCACACTAGGCAGTACTGCCCCAGGAAGCACCTCTAGCAGTCATCTAAGGAGCAGCCAGTGGAGTTATTTTCTCTGAAAAGACAGTGTTTACTGCAAAAAGCCTGAATGGAATGTTTCTACTTACCAGAACAAATACAATAAGCTGTAGTTGTTCTGGTGACTATAGTGTCCCTTTAAGTTTGGAAGCTTAAGAGGGATGTATGGGAACAAAACTTGTGTGCACTTGCTGACATTTAAATTAGTTTAGGTAATGCAGACGTTGGTCTCTCTAACACTGTGGCATGTCCCCTTTCTTCTACACTCACTACAGACATCTTTTCTCTGTCTCAGACTATATACCAGGAACTTCTGCCTGCTAGTAAGAAGGTAAGGAGACAAGTGGACCAGCGAGTGCTAGGGGACAGTCCTTAGAAAGAATGGAGTGAGCGCATCATTAGACGCATTTATGTCAAGCTCAAGGTGCTGCCTGCATAGTATGCCCTTAGTTGGACAGCCTGCAGGATTGGCAGGCAGCCTGACATGCATTCATGCCAGGCTGACCTTCCAATTCTTTGGACAAACATGCCCCCTTTTTGGGCATGTTCACCCCTTTTGGCAGGTCTTGTCACGTGATTCGCGCCAGTGGCACACCCT